TTAAGTAAGAAACGAAACGGTGATACAAAGAATACGGCTGTAAAATACAGAGATAAATCTGCCATATTTTACTTGGATATCACACAGGCTTATAAACTTCTAGGGTACTTTATATACCATATGTGCCTTATTGCTTAAACTGCAGAGAATTTGTACTTTCCTGCGAGGCTATTACACTTTATGGCAAAATGCTTGAAGAATTGTCTACATATTTGTAGAAGGAACGGTAACTCATCTGGTATCGTTATGGGACAGCTTCACCACAGTGTGCACAGTATGTAGAGTTTTGTGTTAAATTTCTATAAAACCTGTGTTCAATGGACGATGTTGTTCCTGGAAATATAACTGATGTGTAGTAGTGTATGGGGTACGTAGTTGTTCTGGAAGGGTGGAAATAAAACAACCAGGCATTGTCCACAAATGGACTACCTCATGCGAAGAGCTCAGCTTATTTTGGAAGGATTATTTAACTGTTTTGTCACACTGTGTGTAAGTAAATCTACTTTTTTGGGGATTGAAACAGTCATGAGGTTGCTACTTGCCCAATAAGACCCCACCATGGAAGTAGCACACGTAAGATACATGCTTGGGTGTTACAAAGGGAGTTTATTCAGAGGATGTATAGCTTAATAGTTTTGAAGCCACGATGGCCTTTGGAGCTGGAGGCAATAGGGAATGTATTTACAAAATTATGTTTTTCTGTGTATTTTTGGAATGTGAGTACTGTCTATTAAACATTGCATTTACTTGCCTTGCATTTTGCAGAAGGGAGGTGTTTCCCTGCCATTCCCCATTAGATGACCCCATGGTCCTCCAATATTTAAAAAAAGAACTTTTGTGTTTAAATCTACAGGGATGTGCTTGAGGGTTGTAACTGGTGCCAAACATTAGGGAAGGCCCTGGGCGTGAGATGCTAAGGCGTTCAGTCATGCACTGTGCTGGTTCAGACGCTGCTGCTTCCCTGCCGTGGAGGAGGCGATGCAAGGCCACTCCATCTGGGTGGTGGGGGACATCGCTGGATGACAAGTCAGCATCCTCAGCTAAGCCCTATCAGGATTAAAAGTACCAGAGTCAATACCTTGAATTGCACCTCGGAGCAAGTAGGAAGTTGTTATTACTGTTTCACTGTAGGAAGAGATAACAGTATCCCCCAGCAAGGCACAAAAGTTGAGCAGTATTTTCACTGCAGATTTGATCTGGGATTTTCAAAGCAACAAAGGACCCAGTAATAGCTACAGCCTGTAAAATCTCTCAATAATAGGATAGGATTTTTCTTCCTTACATCCTTGAGGTATTGAAATGGAGAAATTAAGCCGCAAATACTGTTCATTAAATGCTGAGGGACTGAGTTAATCTGATAAATGAGAAGACTGTTTTCAGGCAGAAGAGGATGAATTGAGATGAGTTGCAGCTTTTGGGTTCACTGGAATTGATGCATTTAGGATCGACTGTTATTTCAGCCAGCTCTTTCGTTTGCGGTTTCAGTATTCTAAAAATGGTATTTCCTGTCGCATATCTGAATGGGATACCACATGTGCTTGTAATTTAAATGTTATGGGCTGCATAACATATGTGGTAACAGAGATCAATAGCATCTTGTATCATTTTCCTCTTTCCCCAAATCGTTTGGGTTACGTTTATGTGGGTCCCATGGGAGCTTTTTGGAGACAAAACACATCTATCCTAAAGCTTGAGTTTACTACCGTTTCAGGGAAGAATGTCCTAATTCTTAAGGAGGAGTTTGGAGTACTTTTTAGAACAGAAAAGAACTTGAGAGAAAAGATTAATTTATGGTGTTGTGCAGATGTAAAAGCATCAGAGAACAAGCTACATAAAATAGCATGAGGCTATAAATGTTTTTTTTTTCTTTTAAATACTAGATGAATGGTGCTGCCCGTAACACGTGAGAAGGTGCATTTCCTTTTATTAGCATGACATTATAAAAACAGCTTTTAAAGATCCATTTGGATTCTTTTCCTCCATTCCCAGTAGTTGGTTTTGGGGATCAGTGAGCAATAGTAGGGGAACTGCTATCTATTTCAACACTTACTTCTTGCACGTATGTTTTTGTTAACATCAGTGTCGGGTTTTTGTTGAAAAACACATTTCTGGAAAAGTAATGAAAGGTGAAAGCTACAGACTCTGACAGGTATGTGAAGGGTATTGCAACTGCAGATAAGAGCTTCCTCTGCCAAAGCAGTTTGCTTCATAGACATTTATTGACTGAAGTTAAATATTTGGCAGGTGAATTTCAAGCATCTTTTTGTTTTGTAACGGGAAAAAAAAACCTGCCGAATAATCTGTAACATCATGTTTTAGAAAGTGAATAGGAACAGACATTGGGGAAAAAAAAAATCAACATCTGGAAATAATAAAGGATGCTGAAAAACTTCATTTCTAACAAGAAAGGGAAACAGGCTGCAGAATGTGTTCTTTACTGTAAACAACATTTGTATTTACTTACATTCCCATTTTATGTTTTCTTTTCCACTCGCACATCTCAGTGTTTTGTGATTTGCCCCTTCAGCGTGGCTGCGGTCGTACCGAATAGCTGTGCCTTCTCAGGCTGCTGGACTCGCTGTCATTTCCGCTGAGCTTCACGCCATACCCCTGCATCATCCCCGGAGCCTTGCCGGAGAGAAAGGCTTTCTCTCTCCTTGCTCAGCGTGGTTTTTTCTCTCGCTGGTGGTACTTTTATCTCTTGTAAATGCTGGAGGAGTTTTTAATGGCAGCCTTTGAGGCTGCTTCCTAATGCTTTCTATTTACCTGGCTGTTAGAGAAAAAAGCCATGCTCTGAGCTAGCATTGTGTAAGCTGTCATTAACAAACAAAGTTTGTTAAGATGAAGGAAGGTCTGAAAACTTTGAAACTTCCTGATCTAGAAATAATCAATATATACTGCAGAAGGAGCAGTGGCAGCAACCAGAGGGAAAGGAGGAGAAGGGTGTGGAACGGGAGGAAAAAATGATGACCAAGTCAGAGACCAAATAGCTGTGATTTTTCTTTCCATTGCTACACTTTATTTTGATGAAGTGATTGTGTGGGTGAAGGATACACTGGTAGTTGTGTGTGTCTGAGCTATGACAGTCATTTGTAACTTGTTTGCTCCTTCTCTCTCTCTCTGTAAGTGGAGAGGAGAGTGCTTATAAAATAACTAGCATAGTGCAAATATTTTTACTGAACAAAAAGGGCGAGAGTTCAAAAAATAATGAAGGACCAGAGTCCTTCTCCCTTGCGAGCTCTTGTTTGCTCGGCAGCAGAGTGAGTGGGCTGTGCCACGGTTTATGGTACTTTCTTAAAGGCTATAAACTGGCCAAGAAATGATGGGGAAATGGTAAAAATAATGACCCGTAGCGTAAGATTTCACTTGGCGAACTTTGGCATCTCTAGAAATGAACTGTTCTCTAAATGCTACAGATAAAGAATGGAAATAGCTTTAAGTCATCGTTATCTAACCTTAATTAACGGAGTAACATATATGCAGGTGGTTTTGTCTGTATGAACTCTGCCTTCCTTGTGCTTTCAGGCAAACGTGAATATGTTCTGACATAACAAGAAGAGCTTTTTTTTCAAATGGATGATGTTTATCTGTGCCCTGTGGTGCTTCATTGCACTCGATTCCTCCTCAGTCTTTAGCAATTTATTGCTCACTTCTTCATCGGTCAGGAGCAGTGGGGAGGAAAAACTTTGGGGATGACATATATACAGTGAGCATTTACATTTCAGTGCACGATTTAAAACCATGAAGGCAAGATCAATTATTTACTTGTTGCAGTTCTCCTCCGAGGACATCTAGCTGAGCCCTTTACCAAAGACACTTTGTTTGATGAAGTGTAGTTTATTAATTGGTTTAAAGAGCTGTACTTTTTCCAGGCCACCAGCCAATTCAGTGCTTAGCAGTTGCGTATGTTGTTACTTGGCCTTGACTTGTGCTTCACAGCATTTTATCTCTGGTGGATGCTTGTAGTCTAGCCTTCAACAGGGATGTATTGCTCATCCTTAGGGCTAACTCCTTCTTGTTTATAAAGTCTAAGGCTTTTCCACCGTGTCTCTAACCTTACTCTGACATGTCCAGTCCCTAACAGCATAAGTCAGCGTTGAAGGAACTGATGTGAATTGATTCCTGCCAAGGTCTGGAAGGCATCTGGGAACAATCTGCATATTCCCCTCCTGGCAGAAGGCACCTCGGATAGCAGCGTGGAGTGGGTGATGAGTCGCAGGCCGGTTCTGGTGGCTACAGTACACTCCCTGCTGCCTCTCACCTGGGGATGCTCACGCAACTGCCCTCTTGCCTGTGCCCATCGCACGAGGGGAGCGTCTGCCTTTGGAGAGACCTCAGGAACTGGCCGATCGTTGCACATGTAATCTTGGTGGGCTGGTTTTGCCCTGACGGCTGTAGTATGTGTACCTTTGCCATCAGCACTGAGTTGCTACAGCTTTTCAACAACAACAAAAATACCCCTCCCCCCATCCTCCTAATTTTGTTCTTGGAAACAGCTGCACCATTCTTAGTAAAACACTGTTTTGTTTAATGGTGGGATGGAGGGAAAACCTCACCTGGAGCAGAGGCCTAGTATGGAAAATCTCTGTCCATATTACAAGCTACAGATAAGTGATATAGTAGAAAGTATTATGCAGGCAGTCCTGTACAGCTGTGGGACTTTCTGCTCTCTCTAATCTAGAGGCTGCATACATCAGACACTCTGAAGAGCCCATAAAGCTTAGGTCTCGCTTAGATCTCCAGTCTGGGAGAGCAGTGAGGATTCATGGGGAGTTCATCTGTTTCTACATGGCTGTCTCAGATTATACATGTAAAACACAAAGTACACTGGATTTATAAACTGCATGCACATTTTAAGCTTTGTGTGGTTTGACTTTTATAAGGGTTGGGTTTCTTTGTTTTGTCTTTCAAGAGAATTTATTTCTGTTCATGTCTGTTGTTTCTCCGTAGATGGTTTGCGGGTGATATGTGTTGCAAGTGCCTCAAGTTCCTCCAACAAGATGTGTTCCACAAATCCAGCAAACTGGGTCACCTTCGATGATGAGCCACTCTTCCAGTCGCCTCAGAAATCGGTTGATAATCAGATTAGTTGTAAAGCAAATGGCCTTAAACTGAATCTGTCTAGTGTGCATGAGTCTTCAAGTATATCATCTTCTACAGGCAGCACTCCACTCTCGTCTCCTGTAGTTGACTTCTACCTAAGTCCTGGACCTCCCAGCAACTCTCCACTTACTACACCTACCAGAGACTACCCAGGAAGTCCATGCATCCCAAAGCCTGGGATTCACATCCTTTATCCCATCCCTGAATGGCCATCAAATGTTAACTTTCTTCCATCACCCGGGATTTGCTCATCCCTAACCTCGCAGAAACTGAGCAGCCTCGCTTTGAACACCTCACCTAATGACCATCCAGTTAAGACTTCGGTCTCCAAATCAACAGATGAAGGAAGCCCTAATCCGCCAGGAAGCTGCGAGGAGTTAGGAGAATTGTTGTCAGCACCAGCGCACTTCCCATACTTTCAGAGCGACTGTGCTTTTTCCAGTCCATTTTGGAAGGAAGGATGCTCGCTCAGCACATCACCCGCTAATGTTAGCACACACAGGAAGGACAAAGTGCTCGACAGGAGCATCTGTCATCCTAAAGACAAAGAAACTTGCCATGATCAGAAAAGCCTTAACCAGGGCTCCTTCAGTTACATCTGCGAGAGGCTTGAACACCTGCAAGCTGATAGCTGCGATGCCATGGGAAGCCCACCCACCTCCAATGCTCACACGTGGCACAAGCTCTCCCCTGCCATCCCACAGAGCCTCTTCAGGAGCCGGAAAGCGGATGGGTGGCCGTTCATGCTGAGGATTCCCGAAAAGAAGAACATGATGTCATCTCGGCAATGGGGCCCTATTTACCTTAGCGTCCTAGCTGGAGGTGTACTGCAGATGTATTATGAAAAGGGCCTGGAGAAACCTTTCAGGGAATTCCAGCTGCACCCACACTGTAAGCTGTCCGAACCCAAATTAGAGAGCTATAATGTCTCGGGAAAAATCCATACTGTGAAGATTGAGTGCGTGTCTTACACAGAGAAAAGGAGGTATCATCCCAAAGTAGAAGCGATCCATGAGCCGGAGGCTGAGCAGATGTTAAAGCTAGGCACCACAGATTATGACGACTTCACTGATTTCCTCACAACGGTCGAGGAAGAGCTTATGAAACTTCCTACTGTTTCTAGACAAAAGAAAAATTATGAAGAGCAAGAAATGACTCTGGAAATAGTGGATAACTTTTGGGGGAAAGTCACTAAGGCAGAAGGAAAACTTGTAGAAAGTGCTGTCATCACGCACATTTACTGCTTGTGTTTTGTGAATGGAAGTGCCGACTGCTTTCTAACCCTGAATGACCTGGAGCTCCAGAAGAGGGATGAGCGTTACTTCGAGAAGGAGGAGGAGAAGAAATGGATCGATATTCTCGATTGCCATTTCCATAACTGTGTCAAAGCACAGGAATTCGAGCAGTCACGAATTATTAAGTTTACGCCCCCGGATGCCTGTAGGCTGGAACTGATGCGTTTCAGGACACAGTATAATGGGCAAGACCTTCCCTTTTCTGTGAAGGCTGCAGTAGTGGTTCAGGGGGCATATGTTGAACTTCAGGCTTTTATAAACATGTCTTCAACTGCTCCAATCCCAATGCGTTTACCCTCTGTGAAATACTGTGAAAACGTTATGATACGCTTTCCTGTTCCCACACAGTGGGTCAAAGCACTTTGGACCATGAACCTCCAAAGGCAGAAATCCCTAAAAGCAAAAATGAATAGGAGAGCGTGCCTTGGTGCTTTACATGAGGTTGAATCCGATCCTGTAATACAAGTCTCGGTTGGAACAGCAAAATACGAGAGTGCCTACAGGGCTGTTGTGTGGAAGATAGACAGGCTTCCAGATAAAAACTCAAGTAAATAATTTGCACTATCAAATAATGGGCTTGGGTGCACATCTTCACTGTCTTTATGCTTGTGTACCTCGTATCAGCTTCTGTAGTTTGGGGTTTTATCTGTACAGTGGTATTGGTAGAAGCTGGAGTAACCTTTTAGGAAAAAGAGAATATAGCCTTCTTTATTTATTTATTTATTTATTTATTGGACATTTTCCTAATTTATTTGATGGAGGCAGCTGTATTATTGTCAGTAATTATAAGCATGCAGTATCATGGAAGTGGATCTCATCATTCTGAGTAAACCTCAAGTCTGTAGTAAGAAAGAGGGAAGGGTTTATGCTTCACATATACTAGCTGGGCAATGGTGGAAGCAAACGCCAGCAGGTAAAATGATTTGCCCACCCAATATCACACAGTTAATAGAAAAGGTGGTATTGTTACTGTTGGGTGTTGGCTTTCTAGCATCGTTTAAGAAACAGTAGATATGATACATAACTAGAAGGTACTGTGGTCAAACTTGCTGTAGGAAGTTGACTGTGCCTTTGCAAAGGCTAATATCTATTGCCTCTTTTATGGGTTTGTGCATTGAGATTGTATGTTTGTGGCAATAACTGCACTTTATTCCCGTTTCTCTCTGGTGGTGGTACCTCACTAAAAACATGCAGCAATAAAACCAGCTAAGTTTGTAGTTGTGCATGTGGAAGTTGTTAATTTTCCACTAAGTAAAATAGTTAATTTACCTTAATTTAATGGAGAAAATATGACTTTTGGGAGAAGGAAAATATAAATACCTGGTTTTAAAATTCCAATTTTTAATCACCTTACCAGATTAGTAGCCCTATATAGTACGTTTCTAAAGGCTTAAAAATTCTTGAGGAATACAGTATTCTGCTTCAAGTTCGGTAGAGTGAAGGCATTTGATGCTTTGTTTAGATACGCATTATGTGTATTTGAGGCTTTGGGAGTCTGTGTAAGACATGGGAATCTATTAAAGCATTTTGCCTAAAATATCTGTAAAATCTGTACTTTTAAGAAGGGGGCAAATGTGTAGTATTAAGAAATGGATTGGCCTAGTCTTGTAGTATCCTAACTGTCTGGACTAACTACCTCTTTAAAATGCTCAGAAAAGATTTAATCTTCTTAAGTCCTGTTTTCAGGTATGCTAGTACTAAGTTGACATATCCACTCCTAGGTTCTGACAGCTAGATGTGTGTGCAGGTGAGAGTTAACATTTAAAACTATAAAACTATTAAAAAAAAAAAAAAGAGCAAAGGCAAAAAAACTCCCGAGAATATATTTTTTCCTCATTTTTAACTAATTGCAAGTTATATTTAATCTGATCTGTTATTTAGGTAATTATGACTTTTATTTTATTTTTTTACAGTTTGGTATTTGGTATCTGAATTATGATTGATATTTCAGTGACAGAAGGAACAGAAAAACTGAGGCAGAAACAAATGAAAAGGGACTATTATCCTGAGCCTATATATGAACTAGATTGCTTTTGGTATTAAAACAGCATTTGAAAGCATCCTAAATCACCATGCTAACATGGCAGTTGTGAGAGTATGAATTATTGCGTGGCTACTGGCAGATGAGAGCTAGTATTTTTACTAATGATGCTGCCTGGAAGTACTGGTCCCTTTTGCGTGCAGACTGGGTCTTGCTTAGGTGATGAGGTCTCCCAAACCTTGAGCAATTGTGCCTTTTGATTTCTATTGATGCACACCACGGGAGGAGCAGCACTGTGGTCAGATTCAGAAATGATGTCGTGTTAATGCCATTTCTGTTTTTCCCCTTCTTTTGCTTTGGAAGAAGCTGTGGTCGGCTTGGACCTGTGGCTAATGCCATATGGTTCCTCCTGAATTGGCTGAGCTCTCCCTTTTACGTGCTGCTTGTTGCCTGGGTATCTCACGCTCTACTCAGGAGAGGATGTCAGTGGCTGCCAAGCAATGGGCAGCGGGAGAGCAGAGGAGACGCAGCATCGGCAGATGGGCTAACACAAGGCAGGGAGCCAAGCCAGAATTAATGGTGGGGGGAGAGAAATGACAGAGAGAGGGAAGATAAGGGGAGGCAGTAAGGGAGGAGTTGGGGAGACTGGAAAATGGACAGGGAGGGCAGAGGAGTTGATGGGGAGATGTAGGAGAACCAGCAGGCAGAAGAAGATTCTTCAGGTCTTCAAAATCTGTAGACAAGGGTGTCTTGCACTCCAGGCTTCAAGGATTTGCACTGTGCTGCTTTGGCCCATGTGTTTTCCCAAGGCTTACGGGGCTGACTGTTCAGGTAGCTGTTTAATATAGGTTTGCTTCTGCAAAATCAAGTCAGCAATTTAGTCAGGCAATTTTAAAGAAGATTATAAGTCTTCCAAAGTCTTTAATTCCCCGCAGTTCATTCACCTTAAGATTTGATGTGCACAATTAACTTCATATTTATATTATTTGAAAGAAAGATCTGGTTTTTGTGGCACTCTACAGCTTTATATTATTTTCTACCAGTAGCTTAAACTTTCGACATTTGAATAATTCCTCTGGCTGAGATCTGCAAAATCATTTGTATCCGCAAAATGTTCATGCCTTTGAAAAAACGTTTTTGGTAGTAATACTGCTTGTTCAAATTTTAAACCTCTCTATCAGTTTTCTGTATGCAGTTAAGAGTTTAAAAATAGAGTTGTCCCAAGGCGTGCCAAAAATCTGAAGGCAGTCAAACTAATAGAAGTATGTAAACTTTCATAATATGTTTACTGTAGGGAGAAAAATATGCTGAGGCTTTTGCTTTCAAGAAGCCTTGGTCCAAGGCTTCTTAAAAAAAAAAAAGAAAAAAAGAAAGGGAAAAGGGAAGGGTGCCTATGGTTATATTGTGACTCCATTTATAGACATTGAAATATGTTAGTATCCGCTGTATTCTACTAAAGAGCTTCCTTGGAAGAGTGCTGGCCAAGTGAAGTTGATGTGAGCTGCAAGATACCCCAGATTTTTCAAAGCTGCCTATGCTTATTCAGATATATAAATGGAGCGTTTGGAGCCCGAGTGTTAGCATTTTTTTTAAAAAAAAAAGTTAAAAAGCTGTAGACTTTGAAGGATTGATCCAATGAAATTTCTGCAAATTGAGTCTACATTTGTGAAATTGGGGCATTGTATAAGGACATGTAGAACATTTTATGATTTCAGCACAGTACTGGGGCCAGGCTGTAGAAGCTGTATGTCTACACTGGAGAAGCTGTATGCACCTGTGTCGCCCAGGGAGCTGGGGAGAGGCTAGACTTTGAAAAGCTGTGTTTTAATCTCTTGCTGAGTAAATTTGTGCCCTGCAATGTTTCTGCTAGGACACCTCCATCCTTGGGCCGTTGTGTAAAGCAACGGCTCTTCAGCTGATTATTGCTCCTTTTCTTCTGCATTATGGAACCATACTGGGTGATTAAGCAACACAGAGAAATGGAGCCAGGGGAGGTTGTGGCTGCTGGCAGTCTCTAGCATCTGAGCATGGACTCAAGTGTGGGAGGCAATGTGGCTCCCAGCAACCTTCAGCTGCCGCTTTTTTGTTTTCTAAACTGCCTAGGTGAAAAGTCCAAGCCATGACTTTGTTAGGTGGGCTCCGTCCCTGCCCAGTCACCTCCTTCTGGCACCAGCACCATTGCAAACTGCTCCTTGGCAGTGGTACCTGCCCACTCCCCTATTTCCTATGCATTTATTCCAGAAGGTTGGATAAACGCACCCATTTAGACATGGCTGCAGGAGTTGTTAACTTCTAACAATCCTAATGTAAATCCATTCTTAGTAATTGTTGATGTTTTCGTGTTCAAAATAAGACTTTTAGAACTGGACCTATTTTGGCAAAAATAGAATTACTACTTGACTAAAATAACGAGCAAGTTTTTTGGCCTAAATTGCTTGGCTTCATGAGCCTTTCTTAGATCAAGGATGCCTGAATGCTACTCATACAGGTTAATAAGGGATAAAAAGTGTGAGTAAATGTAGCAAAGTTAGATTATTAATTGTTTGTGAAGTGCTATATGAATGCTAAATGACAGTTTGAATCTAGTTTCAGAGTTTTACCGATTTGTTTGTTTGTTTTGGCTTTTTTTTTGTTGTTCTTCAGAGAAAGAGAGCAAGAATTTGGAACATTTTTAGAAAATAAGAGCCAAATTTTCAGATGTAAGACAGGAAAGACTTAGGTCTCCAAATTCAGAAAAGTTTTAACAAGTTGCCTAGACACCTGAACCCCAGGGCTTCTGTCTCCTAAGTTACCTAGTAAAAGCTCAGTTATTTCCCCAAATTGTCTAGTTGCCTTTCAGGAGTGATCCGATTCCATCAGGCCAGATGGGCATGTCTCCAGGATGCCTGATGGGCCATATTTTGGATAGCTGGGCTTGCATCTGAATATGTTGTCTTACCTTCCACTGGGGAACTGTACAGACTTACCCCATGCCGGCTTCATCCAACTTGTCTTTCCACACCACTACCTCTTCTCTTTTCTGGCTGACATCTTGCTTATTCAGCATGACAGGTTTTTTTGAAAAAGGATCCTGTACATGCAGCCTCTCTTTCTTCTAACTCCAGTGTAATACAAGGCCTGGGAAACAATAGTTTAATGGAGCAGAGATGACAAGGACTGGCTAGTTTTACGTGAAAACTAAGGCAATGTTCACCATCTTCCGAACTGTTGGTCAATTGCTTTGTTGTCTGACAGCTGATGGGAAGAAGTTGCTCCATGCTCCTACCACAGCCCAGCTGTGAGCAGAGGAACTTCTCTGCAAGTGAAGTGGTGAGTACCTCCTGACATTGAGGTTGGTACAGGAGACGGATGGACTGGTGGGAGCCTTGTGTTTTGGGAGCAGGCAAAATGGTCCAGTGGAGGCTGCTCCAGAGGACCCAGTAGCCTTACCCAGATCCCAAAACTATCATCTCTGCCTTTGCAGGTTACCACCTAGGGGAAAGAAAGGACCCCAGAACTCATCACATCCCAACACCAAAACCACTGCATGGGTGTGGGTTAGGTGGAATATAAGCCCAGAGATTTTTGAGTGCTAATATGGTACTGAACGACAACTCTGCCATGTCTAACGTAGGAGCCTTTAGCAGCAGGCCAAGAGGAATGGCCCATTTATGCCTAGGCTCAAGTGAATATCTACCATCCGACATTTACCATACCTGTCCAGGAAAATTCCAAGCAGTGGTTATTTCTGGATTCCCTTTCTCAGAAGACAAAATAATTTTCCAGACAATTCCCATTGCTACTTGTTTCTCCATAGGCCTCCCTTCCACAACAGGAAGATGCTGCATTTGATCTCCAAAAGCCCTTAGATCTACACCCTTTTCCTACTACCACTACTCCAAACAAGATACTACTGCTCTTGGACAAACCCTTTCTCCTCAGATCCTTGGTCAGCCATAGCCCCAGAGGCAGATCGTGCTTCTTTCCTGGCCAGGGCATGATATGCCATCTTAGTGTTGCAACTGCCGCTATGAAGGACCCTTCACTTGTGGCTGACATTGTGCAGTCTGCGCATCCCAACCCAGCAAACAGCACAAAGACTAGGTCAAGTAAGTGTGTTGCTAAGCTGCATCCCAGCACCGCCACTGGAGAGTGGAGCAGGTCCTGGAGCCAAGAGGAGCACAGCTTAGGTGGGTTGTGGTACCGATGGGGTGACATCTCGCAGTTTGGCTGTGGAATGGGGTGCTGCTTCTGGTCCCCTTCACCACTGGTGTTGCTGTCACCACAGCTGTTGCTGGGACAATGGCAGATTCAAGGTTGGAGAGGCTCACCCCAACAGGGGGCTCATTCCACCATGGCCAAGCAGTCCAGAAGAGGCACCGTAGACGAAGAAAGCGTTAGTGTGGGAGAAATGGCTTGGAGACAGCAAGAGATGGCCAGCAGCAGATCGTGGAAAAGGCCCACGTCACAGAGCTATACAGGTCTGCCTGTCACTGTGTACGTGAGTGACGAAGTGCCATCTCTTCCTCACACTTGTTTAGTCCTCCTCCAACCTCCTTCTTTAGGATGGTTGTAATACTTGTTTCTGACTTTGTTCACTCCTCTATTTCAGTAATAAAGTCCCCAATGTTATAGTTTTACCTGTCTCTGTGTACCGTATTATTGTCCTGAGACTTTAGCCACACGCTGCGTGCCCCTGGTGTTGCACTCCTTTGCCTAAGACCTTTACGAGCTTGCAAGCTGGGTATCTTTGTGCTTTAGTGCCTTGAAGGACCCTGCCCTGTAGTGTGTTCCGAGGTGTGAGTAACGTCTCGCACATGCCAGTAACACTGATTTAGCACAAATCGCAGTCAGTACCTCCTACTCCACCCCCATACCAGCCTTGCCATATAGCTGCGTGGGTGACCGAGCCCGATTCATGCGCAAGTGAACTAAGTGGTAGGCTTGTACATAAAAAGGAGGTGACAGTACTGCTGCTTTTGGTCACAGGCCATGGCTTGGGTGGTGGTTGTCATTTTTTTAACTGTGTGTGGGTTGTAAAGCGTTGTGCCTTGTTTGGTGTGGCAGGTAGGTTGCAAAGTGCAAGGAGGGGTGAGGTTTTTCCATCTGATCTCTCCAGCCTGGCCTGCTCAGTTAGGATTCCTTCCCTCTCTGCTGGCTTTGGTGATGGCCATTGCTGGGCATCTACTTCTCCCTGCTCACCTTAAAGGTGCTATTGTAGTAGACATAATTTGGGGAGCTTCATTCCCAAAACTCAGGACCTACACATTTTGTGTTGCAGTGATCCCTACTGGTCTCTTTTATGGATCTGCCCTTGCATTTATGAGTGCAAGTTGTATTACCTCTTCCTACAATTTCTGTAACCAGTTCCTTATGAGCCTGTATTAGAGCCATGCTTTGGTAGAAACAAGCAGCTAGTCCCATTTGGGGAATGGTTGCTGGCTGTCCATTGTGATACACTGTCCTGGTTTCAGCTGGGATAGAGTTAATTTTCTTCCTCGTAGCTGGCATAGTGCTGTATTTTGGATTTAGCATGAGAATAATGTTGATAACACACTGATGTTTTAGTTGTTGTTAAGTACTGCTTATGCTAGTCAAGGACTTTTCAGCTTCCCATGCTCTGCCAGGTGCACAAGAAACTGGGAGGGGGCACAGCCAGAGTAGTTGATCCAAACTGACCAAAGGGCTATTCCATACCATATGACGTCATGCTCAGTATACAAACTGGGGGGAGTTGGCTGGGGAACAGCAATCGCTGCTCAGGAACTGGCTAGGCATCGGTCGGCGGGTGGTGAGCAATTGCATTGTGCATCACTTGCTTTGTATATTCTTTTATCATTATTATTATTACTTTCTCTTCCTCTGCTGTCCTATTAAACTGCCTTTATCTCAACCCGTGGGTTTTACTTTATTTTTTTTTTCCTGATTCTCTCCCCCATCCCACTGCAGTGGGGGAGGGTGAGCAAGCAGCTGTGTGGTGCTTCGTTGCTAACTGGGGTTGAACCACGACATACATATTTCTTTAAAGATGCCTGGGAGATTTCATGGCCAGTAGCTGATATTCTTCCACAGTGCAGGACTCTAGTTGGTGTGTATATAGCATTATTTTCTGAAATCCAGTTCAGGTTTTCTTTGAATGTTACAAGTAGTTATGTAAAAAAGCGGCATTTAGGATAAGGATCGATTGTGATGTACTGCTGGAAGCAAGCCTGCAGGGGATTCTTGTAACTCAGACATGTATGGAGTCAAGATGGTGAAGGACTGCACTTGTCCAGTGACATGCCCCTTGTCCAAAGTGGTGGCTGTAAATGCTGCTCTGTTTCTGTGTGCGTGCCTTTGGGGTCAACCGAACAGAGACGAACACTTGGAGTCAGCAAACAGCTTTTTAAGCTACTGATTATTGTTGTTGTTATTAAACATGGAAAAAATAAGGGGGGAGAGAAAAGAGTTGGAGACCTCCCCCATCTGGAGTTTAGGGGATGATAATCCAAAGGACGCTTCCTATTCCTTTCCCCGCTTCCCTCACCTTTTCTTCCAGGCAGTCAAGTTTTAACTGTGCTGTTGAGTGTAACAGCAAGGAAGAGGGAGGGAATTATTAATTATACTAATTATATAATTAGTCAAAAGGAAAACAAAATGTTAAATGTTCTAGTGAGTACGATTAAGACAAGCATGAATTCCATGCTTTAAGCCTTGATGTTTGGGGACCTATTGACTTTATGCTGGACTTGGAATGAAATTTGGAGGATGGTTTATTGAATTAGACTTTGTTCTAGTGAAGTTTGACACACATGTATTTGACAGAACTCTGCCCATCAAACTGTTCAAATGTAAATTATCTCCTAAAATCAGAACTGGCTTGGGCAGGCTGTGAGGTGGGTTGCAGGGAAAGCCTGCAGCACAGACCAGAGGATGCATTCAGCCCAAGGCTCCCAGGAGCAACAGAGATGTAGCTTTTTTTATTTATTTTTGCCTTACGAAATGCCTGTGAGCCTGTGGATATGGAGTGTTATAGTGATTTTTTCCCACAGGATGGATAAAGCTCAGTGTATGTTAACTCCATCTTCAGTATTTCCTTCATTCCAATACAAAATTGATTCCTGCCACCGGAGAAAGCAAGGGCATAAAGAATGGCACATTTTTGCCTAAACTTTGAGATGCTGTTCAGTATAATGGATGAAAAACAAATATACACTGCCAGGCCTGCCTTTGACAAAATATGGCCTGGTGCTTTAGGAATGGAAAGCTTAATGGCTTTCCTTGGCTTTTTTTTTTTTTTTTTTTTGCCTGCAGCCGAATGGTAGTTAGTTGTCTATGCTGATGCTTAAAATCCTGGAGAGGAGGGGAAATGGAGAATTACTGCTTTTTGCCTTGAAGAATTTGGAGAGGCAGCTGCGACATAAATGATTCTTTTCATTATATTATATTATATTATACTGCTTTTATGCACGTAGTGAGCCTGCTGACCTCGGTTTCTTTGGAAAGCAGGCTTTCCACCCCAGTGTTCCTGTGTGCCTTGGCTAAGCTCCTTTTCATTTTTCTATGAGAGTAAGAAATGTATTTTTAAGTGAAAACTGAGATTCTTTCCTAATAGTCTGAATTTAGCAACCTATCCCTAAGTTTGTAATACTCTTCTCCTAATCAGAAGCTGGGAGGATCTGGTAAATCTTGTGCAAATTAATTTGTAAAACTGCAACAATTGTGAAAAGTGTGCTGAAGCAGAGAAGAAATGAGTAAGGGGCCAGCTTATGCCCAAGTAGCAAAAGATTATCCATAGAATAATCTTGTATCATAACAACAGGTATGCATTAATAAAAGATAATCATGCTAGCAGATTCACCTTGCACTGTAAACAAAGAAAAGATAATTAACTGATGGTGTGGGTTGTTTTGTTTGTTTTTTTTTTTTTCTTTTCCAAGGTTCAGATCATCCACACAGCCTGTCTTACAAACTGGAACTTGGATCAGACCAGGAGATCCCGTCTGACTGGTATCCTTTTGCTACTGTCCAGTTTGTCATTCATGATACCTGTGCCTCAGGAACCGAAGTCAAGTCACTGGGCATAGAGAGCGATGTGCAGCCCCAGAAACATGTGGTTCAGAAAGCTTTTTACAATTACCAGGTATTTTCAGGGCTATGTTTTCAGTGTTTTCCTCCTCTTCTTCCTCCCCACTCCTCCATACAGTATTTGCAAGGTGAATGTGCTTTGTATTCTAAACATATCTTGCATGCACTTGTGATAATGACTTTGAGCAAAAGAATCATTAAAAAATAATTCTGTGTCTGATCAGACAGGATGCTGAAAAACAACTGCAAATGCAGCATCGTTTTTCCTCAGTTGAGCTATTTTTGGGAGTAGTAGTTTTGAAATCTGTTGGGTCTGGAAATGTTTTGATACTGTGTCAAAGCTTTTATTCATGCCGTTGCTGCAGTTCACACTTTCAGTGCCCAATTACTTGGTAATTCTACCTGTTTTTTTGTTTTCTAACTACAGGTTGAGATTGAAAAGAAGTGGATTAGGCTTGATGGAGAAGATCCAGATAAGGCTGGCAAGTGCCTAATGCAGTAAAAGAGGACAGGAGGCACCGTCATAGGATATTAGTAGGAATCAATTTACATAGGAAATTCTGTTGTTAGAAGCAGCGCAGTGACCTAGTTTAGGATAAACAAGGCTGTTGAATTTTTCTTTTTTTTTTTTAGTGCTATTGGGTTTGATTCTGCAAATCAGTACTGGTTTGACTGGCCTGCATTCAAGTAAACTTCCTGTCATGGGAATAGTGGTATGAGTAAGGTCTCCTTGTGAAGAGTTGCAGGATGTGAGCACTTAATTGACTGATGGTGGTACATTATGTTCCTGTTGCGTATCTATGACTTGGGAATGATCTCATACGCCATATTGAAACCTAATGGTACTACTCGAAAGAGTTCATGTCACTTGGACATAAAATATTCAGCAATAAAAACTGCCGGAGTGCTTATGTGCAGACCAGCATCTGCATCAGGTCCAGCAGGAGCAATTACAGTTTTTAGTGGTGTTTAAGAGCCAAAGTCCCCCATGTTTCTGCTCCCCTCGATACATGTGAACAGAACAAGTCGTAATATTATTCTCGACAAGAGCCTCAATTAATGAGTTGGAAACCGGGTGATTTCATTGGTAAAATGGGAAAAGTTCCTCCGCAATAATATTCTTCATTTTTCTGTGGCTGCGAGCATTTCCTTCTCAGCACTTTACAGGTTCACTCGAAGTAATCTCTTGGGCAAAAAAAACATATGGCAGATGTGACTGAAGTTTGTGTGGCAGCATTAGGCAAATCTTTTTCACTACTGCAGCGAGACAAGGGCCCATTTCATTTGGTGAAGCTTTGAGAATTTACACCAGTGGAGGGTTTTCCCCATAAGCTGAAGAAATGGCAGGTTGCTGCCATTTGCTGTGGGTCTCCTTTAGGATGCAAGTTCCAGATGTTGGTTTGGAAACTGCAGGAGCTGTTGCTTTGAGTAACTTTTAAGACAGAGAGCATGTCTTTCCATGTATGGGAAGAGAGATGTTTTCATGCTGCTGGCTCTAAAGATGTTTTCTGTGGGGAAACAATGCAGGAATGGGCTATTGCAAGAGAAGTGTAGCTGTGATCCTTCAGCAGCCAGCTTGAGCTACTAACCCCATACCAATGTGTTAACTGTGTTTTGAGCAAATTACTGGCATTTAGGGGAAAGGTTTTAATGCTTCCTCTCAGCCATTATCCCCTTTGTCATTTTCTGCAGGCTGTAATTCTAGGTCTGAAAAAAATCTGATAAATTAAAAAAAATGCTCCTGATACTTCCCCCCGCCGCCCCTTGCTGCAGTTTTCCTAAAATTATCCTTACTTCAAACTGAAATTAGCAGAGAACAAAAATATAGTAATGCACTAAGTCTCACTTTATATTTTGTCACAGCTTGTAACTGTTTATATGAACACTGTGTAAAAATACAGATAAATGTTATTCCCCAAAAGTAGAAATATGTGGGATATGCACTGAGAAAATTACCAGTCTGAGGAAACAGAAGGCCATAATATGAACCTAGTTCATCACAATAATCTTTTCCCCCCATTTGGAAGCTGAGAATGAAATGGGTAATGGGTTCTATAGTAAGTCCTGAGGGCAGGTTTTTTATGGGTATTGCATTGCCAAAGCTCCAAATAGACTATTACGGTATTTTGGCTTCTCTATATATCCCTTTTTATTAGCAGATTATATTATTATAAATCTAAGCAAGCATTTGAATGTAGTAGTGATCCAAATATGTCTCAGCTGTTGCATCCTCCGTCCGTGTTTTGACTTGAGAAGCCATTAGCACCTTCAAGTCATCTTTGGTTTGTTTTATTCATATTTAATTTTGGTTTATATACTTCTCAGCTGAACTAAGGGGCACAGTGTGCGCTAGGGCGAAGTGTTTATAGTCAGCATCACGGCAGAGCTCTGCAGTTTGCTGAAGTCCATGGTTATACTAGAGCTACAGTATCTTATTAACCTCTTTGCTCGGTAAGGTAAAGGAAGTAAAATACATGTTGCAGATACCTGCACTAACCTTTCTCTGAAGCTGACTTCTTTTGATTGGCATTAATACAGCTAATTCAGTAAATCTGTTAGCAGTGGTTATTGTCCAAAGCCTGTCTTGCCCAGCGGGCCCCTATTTTTCTGTTTTTAAGAAGGAGGGACAGCCAGGCTGTTCTGGGACTCTTTCACCCTAGGATCTCCATTCACAGCGCTCATCTCCTGGGCATTTGGTAGCTGGTGGTGTTAGGGGTCCTGCAGAAGCAACGGCTGCTTTTCTTCTGTCAGGTGTCTGCTGTATCTCAGGATGTGTTTAAGAAGCCCACGTAGCGTTGACCCCTCAAGATATGAGCTATTGTTTTGAATGGCCTAAGTGATGAACAGCCACATTACAAGTCCTCTTGCCTGCTAGTGAGTCTGTATTATATCTGGTATGGTGCAAATGATCGTTCAGCCTTACTGAACTCGTTAACATAAAAAGGTCAAGCTACAGCTTTATCTCTGTTGCAGACTCCTGGATTTCCATCTGAGGCCTGCAAGACTCACCATTAACTTTAATAGGAATTGGATCAGGATCACAGGGAATTAATTCCACAGAAATATTGCCACACTGATAGGAAGTTACTCTGTTTAATGCATGGCTTTCAGTTTAAACTGGACAATTAGCACAGCCTAAGGCTGAATAATTACCCTGTTCAGTCTCGAACTGATGTTTGTATGCCTTGCTGTCAGAATATTTAAAAATAGGCTGCAATTTAATGAAAGAAAGTTTGGGTTGTCTGACTTTTTTCCCCCGCCCCATCAAATCCTAACTTCCTATTCTACTACAGCATGCCAAAGCAGAAACACCCTGGCTTCCCCTTTCTGATATTTCTTCTGCATTGACCGATGTCCTTTGAGTATAACCTACTCAATAAACATTCTCAATGTTTAAGACTCATTTGCTGACATTTTCTATGAAGATTACGGCAGGCAATAGTGAGTAAGCATACTGGGTTTGATTCTTTAGAAATCTGGGTTGTAAGTAGTCTAGCTGTATTTTGGGAGGGCAATGGAGACGCTATAGGCTGTTGTGTCCAGTGTCCAGCTAGCAGAAGGACTGGAGCTTTAAATAACCCATGAGGTGCACTGGCATTGTGCAAGGAACCAGGTTTCACACGTGTCTGATCTCTGCTTGCTCACAGCTAGCGCCTGCAGTCACTGAAATGCTTCCAACTGTTTGGGTCACTTAAGATGCTGACACTTTGCTAACATTTACTACAGGGCAGTATTTAGATATTATCTGTGTTTCCTTCACAAAGGATCAGCAGGGTTTGGAATATTTTATATTTTAAACAGAAATCAATGAGAACAGCTATTTTTGTAGTGTGTTTGCCTTATTTACAAAGTGTCGTATTTGCTGAAACTGACAAACTTTATCTTTGCATTCATCTTTCTCATACTAATTCTGTTACTGTAGGTAAATGGTACTTGATGTAATTTTGGATTCAAACACCCATTGAAGTCAATGGAAGTCTTTTAACTGACAAAATGGGATCTGCCTCAAAGTCTCTAAGAATAAAGGAGAGGCAAAAAAAAAAAAGGAAGGAAGGAATAGTGGTAATGGGCAGAAAAAAAAAATGCAGTAGAAGATTCTTGATGCTAGTAAGTAAGCAACCTGCAATGCTTGCTTATTCCAACCAGAAAAGAGCACAAAAGAGAGGAAAAAAGGTGTTATTGGGTGTCAAAGCTGAAGCTTTGCAGTGATCGGGAATGATGGTCCAGCTGCCCCTGTGTAGCAGCTCTCGAGAAATGAGGACGATGGAGCACTCCATTGAACATGATGCCAAGCTGCTGTCATCCTTATGATCCTTGCTTTTTTTCCTCCAGATTCTGTATTAATTGTCCAAAATTACTTTACATCTGAAAATGTTTTCACATGTTGCTTTTAGTTGCATTTATTTTACTTGACAGACTTCTTAGCTGCAGTATTGGTGTCCACACCTCTATTTTACATTTATTTGTCTTTTTGTTGACTAAACACAGTAACTAACTGCTGCAGTTAGTAGTTCTTAGCTATAATATTGATAACTCTGAAGCAGTGCTGTTATTCTTAATGGAAAATATAATTTTATTTGGGTCTTCTGTCAGTATAAGTATAAACAGATCATGCCGATAATCTTGTAATAACATTTTGTAGAATGCATACTGATTAAAAAAATAAAGTTGTATTTCAAACTAGCAGTTTCTTGTCCCCTCACTAGAAATTTATCAAGCTTGTTTTACATTTACTATAATTAACTGGTGGATCTTGTGTCATCAGGTATTGCAGTTTATTAGAAAGAGCAGTTCTACTCTGCGTGTGAGTGGGAGACATCGCTCCTCATCTTAGATAAAGCTAGTTGCAGAAAGCTGAACGATGCACTATATTCCATTAATGATGATTTATGGCAGGCCCTTTTCCTGCCTTATTTGCATAACAATAGTAAGCCAAAGAATACTGTGTTTTTTCCTATTGAGTACTTCCTCTGATCTCTCTGGGATATTTGAATATAATGTAGCGAAAACTGTTTAAGACTTTCACAAATTTCAAAGTCTGTTCTTGAAATGAGCTGTTACTAGGGAAATAGTGAAACCTCTGTGGGGAAATACGGGAATAAGGCAGAGGTTTGTGGGGCAGCATTCAAAGAATGGGCTTAAAGTATAAAATAACCATGCCACTTGTCCTATGTTGCTGTCTCTGTAGCAAACCAGTCGGCTATTCTGGGAAACACTGGGAAATACGGTTAGCATCCATTTTCGCTTCATTGGTGTTTGATCCTTCAGTGAGCACCTGCAAATGGAAAGCAGGTGTCTAGCAGAAGTATAGTCCCCTTCCAGAGCTTAAACAGTTTGCAATGTTTAAAAGTATCAGTGAACAATATGATCCAGGTATGTGAAAAAGTGAGATGGTAAATTGCTAGAACACAAGTAAAAACATGAAAACATTTATTTTGGGGACAGTTTCCTAGTATGTGCTATACCTAGTATGTGCTATTTTATAGCCCTGTTCCTTCCTTAGTAAAAACAACCTGTAATTTTTTACAATAACAATCATAACATGTTGTAAGTGATGTTCACACTCCCTGCTCAGTCTTTATTGAT